TTATTGACTCATGTGTGTGTGATCTGAGAGCACCGTTTGATTTTGAGTGCAAGTGAAATGGTTTTGCAGTGATTGTTTTATTTTGATGGAAGAGTCAGAGGTTTCGTGAATTTAGTTTGAGTATTTGGATTTGTGTTTAAGGTTTTGAGAAAATGAGTGATGGTTTCAAGAAATGTGTTTTAGCAATTCAGAAAAACTGTAAATACTGGTTTGATTTTCAACAATTGGACGCTTATGCCCACTAGTGGCAAGATGAGAAAAACACGTGCTCGGAAACACGAGGGAAACGTCTGTTTCTCACACAAAGCCATTTTACTATAGAAAACATAAAAAATGCATCGCACGAGTCATATGGGATACTTTTATTGCGTCTCGTGTTATCATTTTTGAAGCTCGACAGCGTTCATCACCGTAGAACGGAAAAAGCTCAGTCAACATTTTTGGTAATAGGCTACTTGTTTCAACGGAAGAGATAAAGTCGTACAGAAACGACAAGAGTGAGTAAATGATGTTCATTTTTTAAATCAAACACGTTAAAAACTTAAACATGCATGTATTTTCATGAAAATACATTTTTAGAGAAGGAACAATTTTCAATAACCAGTTAATTCATTTTATGGCTTCACACTCGGTAACCTCGTTTTACCTTTCTTCTGACACTCCGTGATGGATTATGATAGCTAGGGGTCTGGGTTGTTTTTAAGGCATCATCTGATGAAACTAATTTGACAGGAAATTGTAGAGAGAGAGGATCGCTGGTTAAGGTCACAGAGGTAGCAAAGGCAATTTCAGAGATGGACGTCAAGTGTGTTCATGGGGAAATTGTCTTTGTCTCCCTCTCTCGTGACCCCTGTGTATTCAAGCTTTGGTGTTTCTCTGCTTCTGCCTTTAAAGGTGAGGTGTGTCTTTTCTGTGCCACTAGCGGCACTAAACAGAATCACAATGTTTGTTTCTGACCAGGCCAGTTTGGCAGATGTGCAAATCCAATGTTTTTGTAACATCCTGACTACTAAAATGCCTTGCAGTAGTCAAGGTTTAGTGTTTCTTTACGTCTGCCTTCAAAGCTGAAGTGTGTAATTTCATCATGACGACTGGCAAGTGAAGTGACTTTTGGGCACTGGTTAATTTATCAAAGTTTTAGCATAGACACATATTAATTAAGGGTAGACTATGGAAGATTTCTCATTTCTAGTTTTTCATTATACATGATTATGCTGCCAGTTCATCAAACCACATTTAAAAAAAAAATTATAATAAAACCACAGCAACAAAAGTTGTTCTTTTGAGTTTGGCAAGTATCTGTAACAGAATGTGACCACATACCGAATAATTTTGTTTTGATTGGTATAAAAAAGCACAAAAATATAGCACTTTCAACTCTGTTGCATGTCCATTCAAATGACTGTGGCATTAAGCAAATGTACAGTGCATAATTGCACATTAGATTCATCACAATTATTTTTATTGATGACTATTTACCAAAAATACACTTCAGCAGACATTTGATTTTGCCTTTGAAACTATAAAAAGCACAATTTTTTTATGAAAGCATACAATACATCTGTAACAAAATCCCAAAAATGAAAAAAATAAATAAATAATACAAATAAAAATAATAAAAATGATGAGCAACAATCAATGGGCCAGAAACATGATGGATTTTTAAGGTACTGATGAATGCAACAATCATTGATAAGCTCATTGTTCAGGGTCACAAAAAAGCAAATATAATACTGAATGAAAGTGCAATTTCATCATTTTATGCTGCAGATTCATCCCCCCCTCACGTTCTTTAAGACAATAGAGCATCTGCATGTCAGAAGTCACAGTTTTGTCATTGGTATGTGCAGGTTATTCCAAGGCCCCATCCAGAGCTCCTCCTCATCTGACTGGGTGCGGTCACTATGTGATCCTAAAGGGTCCCTCACCTCCTGATTGTCCACTGTGGACTCTTGTTCATCCCCATTTTGTGTTCTTTCACCCCCTCCTTTTGCCACATTTGATTTTGAAGCTATACTCTCTGGGCCTGTAGTGCTGGAGGCCAGGGACCCACTGGAGGGCCTGGTTGTGAGGTTCTGTTCACCTACTGAAGCGCCTGTGATTACGGGGCTGTTTAAAGGAATTCGCTCTTCGTGTGTGACAGCAAGTTTGTCTAGTTTCTTAAAGTGCTTTCCCAGTCGTATTGGAGAGTTGAGCTTGATGTTGTTGGTGTGTGCAACCCGTCGTGTTCGGATTATTGAGCCATTCTGGGCCAAGTATATGCTCCCATTAATGTTGCTGTGGCTGTTCACATTAGACAGACGGTTCCTGTACAATTCTGGTGCACTTTCTTCTCCAGTTGAACTGGTCTCGTATTCACGGTCTACAATAAGCTTGATCCTCTTTTTTCTGCCATACTGAAAAAAAGAAAATGGGTGTGTAAAATGACAGCTTAAGAATAACAGACTTTTTATTTTTACACAGCACACAACAGTGGAGTTCTGTCCAAGGAGGAAAGTCTTCTCAAAAATGCACAAGTAATGATATAAAATGAACTGTTGTTTTAATTGGTTTCTTAGTAGCGTGCATAAAAAATGCATATAATGTAAAAAGATCTATATTGCTATTTGTATGATGGCACTGCGTGATTTGTTCCATTTTTCATATATGACAAATATTGGTATGCTTATCGGAAATACTGTTATAAAGTGTTAATTATGAAGATAACAATCAGAATAAATAAAGCAGGTTTGATGAATATTCAATTTAAACATGAGCTTCCCCAGAAGATTCCCTCCTGGACCACAACTGCTCGTCATTAAAAAGCAAAACAACCAACACACACTTAATGTCCCTTCATAAGCTCATTAAAAGTAATGTGCTCATGGACCAAATGTCACTGGATTACAGGATTTTTAGAAAACAATAAACACTAACCCAATTTTGATCTGAACATTAATTGATGACCTAAACTTTTGAAGGGTGACCTCTAAAGGTAAGACTACAGATGAAATAGCATGCATGTTATTCAGCAAAGGTTAAGGAGAAATGCCAAGTTGTGCTCAGCGAGAGGAAAACAAAAAGAAGAACTCCAACCAGATGAAAGCATTCAAAAGGCCAATAAAAAGATCAACACAAGAAATAAAAGCAATGGCCAGTCTTACTGAACATATCAGAATATAATTCAGGAGGCTCCGGCAGTCTCAGTTGTGTCTGAATTAGACTCCTCATCCTCCCCATCTACTTTAAGGTTTCTTGCTCCATCTGAAGAGCTCAAACTATCACCCGGGCTACCACCTCTCTCTAGAGTCTTTTCTCCTTCTTCATTCTCATCTATAGGGGAGAGTTTGTCGATCTCTAAAGCCTTTGCTACACTACTGCTTATCATAGAGAATCTGCTCATGCTGTGGAAGTTTGAATCATGTCTTCTCTCCAGAGAATTACTGCTTTTAGACCTAGAGGACCTTGGATCCTTACTTCGGCCTTCTTCCATCTGCCCTCTGTCTTCCTTATCATCCTCACCCTCCTTCAGGATGGTCTCTTCTAATGTTTTCATGTGTGTGGATGTAGTTGCAGGTTCTGAAGATGATCTGCTGCTCTTTCTCTCGTAGGTAGAGGTTACTGATCTCTGGGATGTTGTGCTGCTGTGTCTGGGCCGAGAAGATCTGACAGATGATATTGTTCCTCTATCCTCCGATTTGACACTTTCCTTTCCACTGCTATCTTCCCCCGAGCTTGACTCGTTCTCTGTCCCCGATGTTCTCTCAGTGTCTGACTCTTGTTCTGTCTCTGTTTCTTTTTCAGTCTCTGCATCTTGGTCTGAATCTGATTCTGTCTTTGACTCTATTTCAGTGTCATCTAGCTGAGTTTTTGTTTGGCTCTCCCTGTCTGAATCAAGAGGACTCTGGTCTTGATCATCATCAGAGTCTAAACTACTCATATGTGCTCCTTCTTGGAGTCTGTATGGATGGTAAGGTGTGAATGACATGGAACTTCCAGTGTAAGACTGTTGAATGATGTCTTCCTTGCTCCTACCTGTTTCTTGCTCACTTTCCACACTATCACCAGGGATTCTCTGTGATTTCCTTTCTGACTCGCTGAGTGACCAAGAGGTTGGGACGCTTCCATTACTCCTATGATCTAAAGTTCCGCTAATGCTGCTCAGAGAGTTCTTCTGAATGTTCAATGTTTTAAAGATGTTCATCTGACTCAAAACTTTGCCAAGTCTTGTCTTTGCTGAAGGAATGGCTTCTTTAGTCTGGAAATAGTTGCCATCAATGACCATGCCATTGTCAACACTGTTTGAATGTTGCATTGTGATTGCTTTGGGTTCATCAGTACCTCCTCCTTTCTCCTCAGGAACTGCAATCGGAAATATTCTATTGTTCTTCCATGGAAGGTGGAATGGAGCTGGAGCTGGGCTCGATCTTCGGTCAAACATTTGGCTGAGTTTTATAGGTGCTTTGAGTGAAGGTTCAGCCTTTGAGCTGTAAGGGTGTGAGATGCCTTCAACTAGTCCAGGCAGGTGTTGCTCAAGCCTTGGAGGTTGGTCTCCAAAAGCTTGTCTAGGGGACCTTCGTGCTGGAGCCTTGCCAGGAGGGGGAGCTGGCCTTCTGCCTTGCCTAGCAACCTATTACATTGATATTAGTCCAGGGTTTTATCATTCAGAATATTTAATCAACAGTTCAGATCACCCATCATCTTTGTGACTTCACATGACCCATGTCAGCATTCCCCACTGCACTGAGAGAAGTGTCAAGGTACAGTCTTACCCCCAGTACCACGTTGAATGTAAATGCATTAACATGACTGGCTGCTGACCTTTCAAAGTGCAGTCATGGTTGGTGCCAGCAAAAATCATAACATGATAGAGCAGTGTTTCCCAACCTTTCTTCAGTCGCGGCACCCTTTGGAAATTTTAACAAATTTGTGGCACCCTACAAAATTATTGAATTTCTAACTTCGATATGATACTTTGAAAAGTATAGATATTCGGTATAGCAGGGAAGAACTGCAGAATACACTGTCATACAGATATTTTTTATATTATTAAAAACATTTGTCCATCAATGGTGGCAATCAGTAGGCTAATTTCTAATGAAAAGACCAATTTATATGGCAGATTTTAATGTAGGCTTTTATTCATATGTAAACATTGTGAGATAGCTAATTATATTGTTAATTAAACAAAGTTTTGCTCACTCAGTGTATTTTTGATTTTGCACCCCTGCTCTCGACAGACGGCAGCCCGGTTGGGAAACACTGTGATAGAGGAGGGAATGATGCCATGAACCAGGAATTGGCAATTCTGGTTTGGAGGGCTGCTGTCCTGCAGAGTTTAGCTTCATCCACAATCAAACACCCCCGCCTGTAATTTCCAATTATGGATGGAGCAAAACTCTGTAGGAAAGAATCCTGAACCCTCCAGGACCGGAATTGCCCATCCCTGCTCTTAGATGGTTACCCATGTTCTGCAAAATAACCCCAATCACCGCAACCCTGCACCCTGAAGAAAATTTACTCTTGTGTGAGGGCCACCCTTTACACATTACTGACTGATTATGTGTTATCTGTTTACATTGAAACATCATTGAGAACATATCAGAACATTCAAAGCAAAAAAAAAAAAAAA